AGCTTTCATGCATAGTGTGGTCCAATGTAGAAAAGCAATACAAACAAGCATGGATTACCTGGCATGACTGACAATCCTTCAGCCCACACTGAACAGCTGTGCTTTGTCCAATAGCTTAAAACTGGCCTTTATAAGAATCATGATCCTCAGTTTAAGATATGGGTCAGAACTAGATGTAGGACATTTGGGGAGATGAGGGAAGGAACATCCTCTCGCTCTTGATGTCAGGACAGACACATAATCCCTTCTTCTTACTCTGAATCTAGAGTAAACTGTATGTGCTGATGTATTGTACCCAAAGAAAAATAAACCTTCCTATTTTCAACACAGTGTTAGTATCATTCACATGCAGACCAATGGCTATCCTTTTGTGAACACATGTTCTATTTTCAGATATGCTGATTCTTTCACTGGCTTTTCATGGTTTCTTTGCTCTTTTTTTTTCTGCTCTCTGTCTAAAAGTAAAAGTATTTTTATAACTTGTAGATCTTGTATCTTTTTACATGATTTACCTTCTGAGTGCATATGTCCAACTACCTCTTGACTTCTAAAATGACATACAATCTATTATGGGCTGACTACTGAATTATAAGTCTCTTGAGGAAAAAAGGGATTTTGCACACACATGTATTTGTAGATATGTCTCTGTGTGTAACACAATATGAGAAAAGTCATATAAATGGAATGCTGAGGAAGTATGTGATAAATTATATATTCCAGAAGTTAAAGCTAATATACAAACTGTGCAGCAATACGTATGTTATTCAGCTAGAGTAGATGTGCCGCACTGTGCATTACTTCCGAAGAGCACGATGAACACAATCATTGCATATAATTTTATCTATCCATTTTTAGAAATAGTAAAAAACAGAGATACAGAGTATATCTGCACTCTGACATTCCCACAATTGATATCACTTTTTTCACTGTTTTCCATCAATTATCTGGTGATCATGTTTGATTTTTATCTCTTGAAAGCATTGCAATTAATTTCCACATTATTGCAGTAAATTTTGCATTATGCTTCTTGTGATTATGTCCTTTATTCCAATGTCAGCTCCCATATTCTGGCCCTATTTGTGTTCATTAGTGATGACCAGGGCTCTTTTCTTCCTTTTCTATTTGATTGACTGCAAAATTTCAAGCCATGTGACAGGAAAAAGCAAGATCAACCTTTTTGAAGAACCACTTTAATTACTTCCTTGAAGAGGACATGTAAGAGTTTCACTCACTTTACAACAGCAGTCTTACTCTCTGCAGTCTTCCTCTCATATTCTGGCTTACCCAACACACAAGAGGGCATGCAAATGAAGTCCACAGTGGGAAAGACAAACCCAGCCCAGTAATTCAGTTGTGTTTACAGATGCTCAGGTCCACAAACACAGCTCTTCCTACTGTTCGCATACTTTTCTAAATTAATTCCTAACACCTTTTATCTTTCAGTAGTTAACAAATACCACCATAGAATGAATTAGTGATTGGAAAGAACAGATAACATACAAGTATTGCTGTTTAATTATGTTTGTTTTCTCCTCAGTTAGAGCTGATGTAACATTGGACTAAGGGATCAGATATGCGATAGGACAAATGGATCCAAAATCTGCAACCTTGAAAAATAATTTAATCTTTTCAAACATCAGTATTTATCTCTCTAAAGAATAATAGCCACTGCTGAGATTGTCAGGAGAATCAAATAATACAGAACACCTAAAGAAGAAGCTGGGGGTCGACCAAATAGCTCAGTGAATTAAAGTGCTTCAGTCAGGTGCGGGGGCTGGGCTTCAATCCCAGGGCCTTCAGAGCTGGCCCAAACCCCTGGGGCATGCAATTGAGACTGGGTGTGGTGGTGCAAGCTGTAATCCCAACTCTTGGAAGGCT